CGCGGAATAGCAGGGAATGAATCAAGGGCTATTATAGGAGTCGTAGAGATCTGCTTTAAGTTTTTCACTCCTGCATTAATATTATTGGTGACATTTTCACGCCTTTATCATTTCATGAGAGATTCATCTGTTCTTTCAACAACTCGTCGAAGTCACGTGGTCATGACACGAGTGACCCATATGGCGGCAATAACATCATTTGCGATGGTGTTCTGTTGGTTTCCCAATCAACTGTTTTATTTACTTTTCAAATTCAACCTGGTAGAGTTGAACACGGGGTGGCACCGAGCAACTGTTATACTCTGTATGTTTAACTCATGCTTAAACCCATGCATATTTCTCTTAAGCAATAAATTTTACCGACAAAAAGCAAACAAAATGCTGCCAGATTGCAGAGGGCTGCGAAAGAGAGGCAAGACTTCATTGGCTGAAAAGACCAACGTGACTGAGTCGGTTGTCTGTGTAAAGTTTATCAAGACACAAACCATGGGAGAGGAGGGGGTGGAAATGTTGGAATAGCTAGACGTTTAACAATTCTGCAGCCAGCATCACACAGCCTTAAGCTGGCGGATGTTGCCATTTTGTAAATCTGTTAATTCTATATTTATATTTAAAAAAATTATTTGTTTGTACCAAATGTTTAATTGACTACTTTATACAGGATATTAAATTTTGATACTCTCATAAAATTGTTGGTACAACGATTCTTAAATGAGGTTCTTTACGACTATTATTAGTGATGGGCGTAACATGCGAGTTAACAAATGCCATAGGTATTTTGTTCATTCCTGTTGATACCAGCTGTATTTTCATAGGTGGGGGAGAGGGAAATATTGCGATTCAAGAACCTTTTCCTGCTTGGTTAACAACCAATGTTTAAAATTGTTTAAATGTGTCTAATAAGCCCTGAATATTTTGTTTCTTACGTATTAAAAATCTCCAATTAATAAATAGTCTAAAACAGGAATTTCAAGTTTGAATTGTTTTCTAATGAAACATCTCAAGGTAAGGGGCCGACCATTTAACTCTTGAGGGGTGGGGTGGGTGATTTCTGGTCATCAAGAATTTTTTTTCTAGCAATCTGGTGGGCAGGTATTTTTTTCGCTTTTTTCTCCATAAGCTTTCTATTACATTTGTGCTGCATGCAATTTTTTTTTTCCGACAAGGGCTTGCAGGAAATTTTTTTTCCAAATCACACATCCACTGCACCCCCCCACCCCACACACCGCACGGCCCTTCAATCCCCGCCCAAACGCAAAAAACCCACAACCATCATGACACTCAAACTAAAACCACCACCCCAAATAAGAATACATAGACGAAAAAATTAATA